TGTGTGAGCAACATGGCTGCTGTACTAGTACTGTGTGAGCAACATGGTTGCTGTACTAGTCCATCTTTCAGACGACTGTACGGACAGGTTCTCGTTGTATCTCAGTGATAATGAAGCTGATTCTAATTTAATCCGTAAGTGCTGCAGCATCTTTATTTAAATCACTTTATCTGTTTCCATCATGACAAACCTAAAAAATTAAAACAAGGTTGCAGAAAAGTTTTCGTGTGTTTTTCATGTAAACCGTGTTTTTGTTGCAACGTATTCAAGTGGGTACGAGTTACACTGTGAATGGGGGGGGGGGGGTCTCGTCAGGGGCAGCTCAGAGCGATGGATCCTGGTGAGTGAAGGGAGCCATTTTATCCACCACCAGGTGCAGTGGTGGAGCCAGTGGGTGGCCAATGGTGGCCTTGGACCCCATAGATTAATCTTGGGCCACCTCAATTAAAGAAACTGTACTTTTAAGAAAAATAAAAACTAGAAAACAGATTCCTCAAATGATTGGGGTGGCCAGTTATCTACACACATTCAGGCTTTACGTGACCTTTGCATCGACTTCCATTCATTTCTATAACCCAACCCGGATCGTTACCCTAAAGGCCCGTCACGATAACGTGTTGCTGGGCGACTGTCGCAGAAATTATTGTGATAAATTATATTGTTTAATTATTGTCAAATTTACGAATAAAGGTTGGTTAATTTGTTTTGTGTGTAGTACGTTTTTGGACCACTGGATGGCAGTATAAGCCTGTCTGAACCGAAGGATGGATAGTGAGGGAGCGAGCAGCGTGTCTAAAAAAAATGGGAGGGAGGCCCCTTGACGTGGCATGAGCTGTCTCTCTTTGGTTCTCAAAATGTCGGACGCTCAGTGTGGTTTGAGCTCTTTAGCATTTGTCACACAAAGCTTTTAATAAAAATAAATCAGTAAACAAGTTCTCAGCTTCTTTTTTCAGAGAAAAACAACTTTTTACATGAGGTCGGCCTGTTAGCTTAGCTCGTAGCTTAGCTGCTTTTAATGATCCAAAGACGTGATTTTGTACGTTAAAACAGATTTTAAAGAGAAGAGAGAAAGGGAGGGGTCAGTGAAGAACCTGAGCCGAGTCTTTTGTCTTCGAGTGTCTTCAGTAGAAAGAGAGAGACACGAAGAAACGAAAACGCTGATAAATAAATGAGTTTTCATTTATCATGCGATGAATCGATTTCCTGTTTATCGTGACAGGCCTAGCCTCAACAACAAAACAATAAACCGTTTAAAGGACCTGACTGAACTTTGTTGGATAAAATGTTAAAAAGTTGACGTTTACGAACTAAAAACACGTCGAACTTGGAGTTGAAAAACGTGGACGTACGTGGAACTCGTTGACAAACTGCGCCAGGATGAACTGGTGCCTCTCCGCGCTGCTTGGAGCCGTCAGAACATCGGGCACCGTCTTGTGGACCGGAGCCTTCCTTTGACCCGCCATGCCGTCCAGGTGGCAGTCGAACCCAGCGTTGCCCGGCAACTGGAACCGCCGGTCCTGAGGTCCGAATGGTCCCATGTTCTCGTCCGGCCACACGGTCCTTGGTCCTGCGGAGACGCCATAAACGTGAACAGGGTTTTCTGAAGAACCTACACTCCAGGCCAGTCGACGGTTTGACTCACCGGAGTCTGCAGGCGACACACTCATGTAAGGCTCATCTGAGCTCGCCGCTGAGAACGTTCGGCTTCTTGCAACCCTGAGAGCAGCTAAAGCTTGGCGGCCGGCAGCCGGAGACAACACGAACCTGCTTCGACCGCACAGCACCTACGAACAAATTAACAGTCGTTTAAAAAGGGACCGGGACTGTATCAACTGAAGTGAAAAAGATGTGCTTGCGTGTTTTTACTTTATTTTAAACTATTACTCACGTCAGAGTACCGGAGTACTCGTTAACATTTGAACTGAAACTCAACAGTTGGCAAGAAAACGTGACTGATGATTTTACCATCACATGGTAAACTTTTGGTAGTGATGTGTTAAACCTAATTTTGATGTTAAAATAGAAACATTAATGTTTTATAGTTAAAGGTGCTTGTAATCTGTGTAGGCAAACACACACGTTCAGGGGGAAACGAGAGTTAATTCACTACTAAACGAGAAAAACAGAATAAAATCACCATCAGGAGGAATTACCGGATCGAGCCGGGCGGTGAAGTTCAAACAAACAAACGCACCAAACTTCATTTCTGAGGTTTAAACTCAGAAAACCTGCTTCAAAATATGAAAGTTCTGATGACGTCACTCACCTGTGCGCGTGATTTTAGCTCATTCAAGTTTAAAATTATTGTTGAGGTGTTTTTAATTTAGTCCTTACTCAAAAACTGCACTCTTTAGAAGTTGTGTTCAGTTTGAATTATTTAGGTTTACGGCTTCAACGGTTCCTTTGTGTTAAAATTATAAAATTATTTAATTTACACAAACATGCTAAAACTTTCACAGGATGTTTTTAGCTTCTCAGGAGAACAAATATTAAACTTACACTGCCGGACATCGTGGGCCGACTCCTTCACTTTTACTCTTGCAACCTGTTGGAGAAATTAACAAACAGTTTAATTTCCAAAAGCTTCTTGTGAAACGAGCTTCAACCTTCAAGGAGCTAACAGCTAACAGAGCTAACAGCTAACTGAGCTAACAGCTAGCAGAGCTAACAGCTAGCTGAGCTAACAGCTAGCTGAGCTAACAGCTAGCTGAGGGGGTGATGCAACAGCAGGTTTGATCAAAACGTCATCACTGTTGCCTCAATATTTAAACACAAAGAGCTCAAAATAAACACCCCCCGTGTATAAACTCGGTAAATTCATCACGACACTTGAAAAGCTAACTAGCTAGGAACAGCGCTAGCTTTTAGCCGATGCTAACCGCGTTAGCTGAGGTTAAAGGCTTGGTGCAAAGTGCTCGTGCTCTTAAACAGAATTAAAAGTACTCACGAGTCTGATTCACGCTCAACAAAACAGCAAAGCTCGTAACCCACAACTTATTGTGCGAGTCTTCTATATGAAAAGTCCCGACAGAACGCGCAATAGTCGGGATCAGAAGAGAACAGGCTGTTCCTGCTCACCAGCACGTCCGCTGCACAACAACGGCAAGCGCACAGGGACATATCCAGGTCGGCGCAGTGCGCATGCGTAAAGTACGTAACAGCTACGTTCGGTCAAATAGAATAATATAAACCGCAGTGAACGAAAACATGAAACATTAAACGTAAGAAATAATTTCTAACAATTTATTTCGTCGGATAAGGCGACTACAGTTACAAAAACGAACATACATAAAAAATAAATTAAAAAAATTTGATATAGAACCGGAAGTAGGTGTAGTGGTTATAAAAAAAAGGACAAAACATTAAGAAAAATACAATTGTTTTGTATTATTTGATTAAAATTGTATTTGGTTCATGGTGATATTTGGGAAATGTAAATGGAAAGAAACACCGTGATCAATTTTTCTGGCCTTGCAGCTCAAAGGTCACAGAATGATGCAGTAGAATCTTAAGTACATTTTCTTTAATGTTACTTTTCTGAATATAAATGTTTATGGACGTTAGAGAGTGATACAACTTCAAAGTGTATGATTTGAGAGTTTTATTTACCGATCGTCACGTCTGAACAAGTGAAACGTTTCTGCTCGCCCACTGACAGAAGGAACCGTCTGTTTCACCTTCACAGGTGCAGAACAAAGACAGAAATAGATCTAGAACAGAGACAGAAATAGATCTAGAACAGAGACAGAAATAGATCTAGAACAGAGACAGAAATAGATCTAGAACAGAGACAGAAATAGATCTAGAACAGAGACAGAAATAGATCTAGAACAAAGACAGAAAAAGATCTAGAACAAAGACAGAAATAGATCTAGAACAAAGACAGAAATAGATCTAGAACAAAGACAGAAATAGATCTAGAACACAAAGTTTGGCCATGCACATCAGGATGCTTCTTTATTTTCACTGCAGATGTTCGTCTTCTGCACTTTTATGAATGTCCACTTAGAAAAAGGTTGCTTTGATCGATTTATTATTTTTTAAATTACTTTAAAGTCTCATGCTACATTTAGTTGGCTTCATTGAAACACGACAGATTTTACTGTATACATGGAAAATTATTTGTTTTCCTAAATTTTAATATAGAGCTCATCTATCACTTAAAATATATTTTCACTCTTATCCACCAGATGGCAGCAGAGTCCCATTGAACAGCACGTGGTGTTCACTGAACAGCTGTTGAGTGCACGTTTCATGTTGGTAGTCTGTTGTTAACATGTAGCTCTGCTTTCTTCAGGTGTTCGTCATGTTTTACTCCAACCCATGTTGTGTTTTCCACTCCTTTAGCTCTGAAGCGTTTACAACGAATAACGGGACCACGCAAAGGTTGTGTTTAAAATAAAATGCATTTTCTCAGTTATATCATTATTCATTTGTGCTGTTTAAGAGAGTTCTAGTAGACTAAACTAAATGTCCTTTTCGTAAAACTTGACAAAAGGTAAAAAAGTGCTTTTGTTTGGCTCTTCAAGTTAAGAAATCCACAAAAATCCCCTCTCTTGAGCAGCAAGCATTAAGAATAATTGAAAGAACGGTCCTGACACGAAGAGTGTCTCAGCTGTCAAACGTGGTGGAGGACAAGGGCAGCTAGTTATCTGCTGGCGTAGACACTTCCCTTTAGCTGACTGGACGAGCTGATTGACACTTTCTCTGAGCCGACAGGATGTGCAGTTGGTGTTTTCCCGGGGACCGTCACGCTTCACTCACCCGACAGTTCAGCGCGTGTCTGAGTCGGTGTGTGTTGCAACAGAGCATGTGCAACCGTGCACACGCTGGCTGTCAGTGAGTCTTCCCAGAGGATCATCTTTAGAGCATCCAGCTCGGATGGAGGCCCTGTGGGATGCTCTCTCACACACACGTGTGCCGGCATCCTTAAGGAGCTTGAGAATGAGGTCTTCCCCCCAGGCTCTCCACAGTCTTCTAATTTGGAGGTGAAGACCGTTAAATGAAAGGCTGACTCAGGTCCGGTGAGGTTTGATTAACTGTCCGTTGATGATATTTGACTCGACGCTTATTAAGGCCCATCTTCCCCTGCTCTGTGTACGAGATTTAAACAATGTTTTTCTTTCGTTGTTCGTGAACAAACAGTGGTTCTAACAAAACGTTGCAATACGCACTCCAAACCACTAGGTGGCGATAAAATTCACACGACCAACAAATAAAGAGAAGACAAAAAACATTCGAAGACTAAATAGTCTCCAATTTTTATGTTATTTTTTGCAAAAACAGCAACAATTTTGTTTTGGTCCGGTCGGTGGTTCTCAAACTGGGGTCCCGGGAACCCCAGGAGTTCACGAGCCAACGCTTGGGGCTCCGAAAGAATTAATAATCTTTTTGTTTTACAAGCACGGAGTTGTTCAACAACCCATTAAAATACACCAAAATGCAGGAAATCACATCTACTTTATTAAAAATTTTCTGAGGGAGGACCCCCCCAAGACTCCTCCCCCACGCTGCCCCGCCCACTATTTGTGTTCCAGCCTCCATGAGTTTAGAAATGAAGCTCCATTACTCGGTCCGACTACTGCTGTTCTGATTCTGCTCAGTTTTCTGTAAAGAGTTTTCTGTAATCATTTGAAGTGGCCGTACATCGATCATGTTCACTGTGTGAACAGGTAAAGTTTTAAAGTGGTTTCTGATTCTGTTAATTTTCTCAAAACTGTAATTTTTGGAAGTTGAAATAAAAAAATCGTTAAGTGTGTCTTGAATGTAAAATATCACGTTTAAAAGTATAAAAATTGTACAAACACTATTAAAGAGCAGGTTTTGAGTATTTGTTACACAAATATTTCCATTGCATTAAAGAGACAAATTGAAGAAAGTTATTTAATAAACATGAGGGTTATGAGGGGGTCCATGAAACTTTAGTCCCCTATAAGGGGTCCCTGGACCCAAAAAGGTGGAGAACCCCTGCCCTAGGCCAAGTATCAGCGGACATGTGTGAAACAGGTCCCTGAATCACTCTTTGTTAAAATACAGGTCTCTTGTGAATGAGTCCCTGAGGCTCAACGGGATTAACCCGTAGAAACAAAAGTTGAATGAACAAACAAACAAAAAACTACATTCTCCAACCTCCGAGTGTAAACGGATCCTCGTGGACCTGCTTTTTGTACTGAACATATACTTGTGCATAGCACAACTGTTGTCTTTGATCTTCACATCTGAACTAGAGCAGTTCAGAGCCGGGACTCCACCTGCGTTGGGCGCACCTCCTACAAATAAGGTCCAGAGCCCTGTCCGCAATTCTTACCGTATCCCTCAAATGTGAAACCGGAGCATCACCTACTGAGCTAATGTATACATCACAAGTATAAAGGTACTGCTAAAATAAAGTAATACTGAAAGGAATGTATTATTTTTATTATGTTAAATGTATGACCAAATAAGGCATTTATAATGGGATTTCAATGTGGTGGGTTTTCCCACAGCAAACACTAGAGGGCGGCCTTTACTATGAGGTTACGGAGGCTATTCAGAAAATACCTTAATGTGCAAGTTAAGGAATCACATTCTGATACAGCCTTTCTTGGTCTTGTTTCTTTTACTTTACAGTTAATTTTAATAACAGCCACTCGTTAATAACTGAAATTAGCATTTCTTGGGGACAAAATGCAAATCATCCACACTCTCGCATGCTAGTTTTTAAACAAAAAAAATCTCCCAGGATCAATTAGTGATCAAAGTATGTGTTGGGGATTACTCCCAACTACTACCAAACCAAATATTAGATTGATACGGTTTAAATTGAGTCAGTCATTTTTGTGTTTGCTAAAGTCAATCAAAGATGACAGCCCTATTGAATTAGTGCGATATTACAAAAGGTTATTCAGTTATGTATAAACTATACTCATGGCACTTTGTTGATCACAAGACGTGAAAAGTTGCGAGGAACCATCGGCCTTATAAGAAAAAGCAAAAGCAAAGATATCGATAGGAACCAGGAAGTTGAAGCTGGGACGGGACCAACGCTCCAGTGATTAGTTTTAGTACAACTTTTAAGCCCCGCCCCTCCAAGGAAATAAACAGGACACTGCTAAGTTAATAAAAATAGACTAATTAAGTTATTGCATTGTTGATTCACCTTCAAGCTTTAATGTTTATTTTCTAATACATTTAGCTGTAATTACTTATTTAAATTGTATTATATTAAAACTTGTCATTTCTTGTACCGTAGTTTTTCAGACTATAAGGCGTGTTAAGCGAAACAAGTTCATTTTGACAGATTTTTGAGTGCCACGTAAAACTGGTTCAGGTCAGTAAGCGCAACCAGAATGAAAACATAAGGTGCACCAGATTAGAAGTCTCACTGTCAACTGTTGAGAAAATGTAAAAGATTTTAAGTGTGCTTTATAGTCTGAAAAATACGGTAGTTTATCTTACCGTTTGTGAAACTAACCTAGGTTTATGAGAGTATAAAGTATAATAAATAAAGTCTAGTTAGTTTCGTCTTGAACTTTTCTGAATTTGTCATTATAGCCACGTTTACCTATTACATGATACAACATCCTGCCATACTGCTACTACTACTCTGCTGCCATCTAGTAGCTGAAAATGGTACTGCTCAATGTTTTTTTTTCAGTCAGAATGAATGAAAACGATCATATCTCAGCCAAAAATTGTTTTATACGTATGGTAAAAAAATCCATAAATACGTCGCTTCGGCCTACAAGTCGCAGGGCGTGTAAATTATGGAAAAAACTGCGACTTATAGGCCGAAAAATACGGTAAGCGGCTGATTGTTTACAACTTTTCAACAGAACCTGCTCCTTAAATGGAGTACTTTGCAAGACCAACTTGGACAAACTTCTTTGTTTCCCCCTCGGAGCTCAACAGAGTCGGCGTTTTACTCCGAGCAGAATTTGGCAGCAACAGAACGGCTCCGAAAAGACAGACGTTCACTCCAGGTGCTTGCACCTGATGCTCATTTGTTGACGTCTTTTCCAAAACGCTTCGAGCGCTGTCAGTGCTGCTGAGCCATGCAATTAGGTCTTTCCCCAGTCGCGAGCCTTGGGGCTGCAGTCACTAATGAGGCAGCGGTTGACGCGTGTGTGCGTGAGTG